TTCTTCTTTTTCTGCATACCAGCGGTGGGTTCCTCTGTCGCTAGTCCAACATTTAGCGGAACAAGTGAAACATCAAGAGCTTCAGTAAATGTTGATGGTGCCAACATAGGCGGAGACTGGTTAAAAATGGAGTTGACACTCATGGCTTCATAGAATGCCGCATTAGTGTCTTGCACAAGTGATAACCCGCTTGCTAATCTCTGGGAGCAATAATCTTCTATAAACTTCTTTACCTCCTCCATAGTTAAATCCATCAGATGAATTTTTTGAGGTTCAGGTTGATTCTGTGGTTGCGGTTCCGTAGAATCAGAAGGAAGCAGTCGAGTATGGAGAAACGCATGGCAAATGAAACCAATCCCTCCGTATATGACGAGGGTAGTCATTATTTCCCCTTCTGTATACACAATCATAGAATTATATAACCAATCAATATACGATAAAAGATTTTGGCAACATATCCAAAAAATATTAATGAAACGTACCCTTCATATGGACTAGTTCTCGAAGCATTGTGCAACAGTCGCATGCGAAGTCTTTATCAGAGGCTACAGGTGTTGTTGATGTACCGCCGATTTCATAGTTTGGACCATTAGGATCACCGAAAACACGAGTACTCACTTCAAGTCTAGTAGTTTCACCCACATTGTTATTGTTATGATCATTAACATAATCATAAGTAATCTCTCCTTGGGAATCATTGTTAACGTTTTCATTAGGACCATCATTTAATGGTTCTAACATGTCTAAAGATGTTGTAATTCCGTCGTCGAAAAAAGACAGTACATCAAAATCGTCGTTGGTATCGTAATTAGAGATGGAAAGATCAAGCTCGTGGAACAACTGAGTTTGGTCAACGTCCAAGGGTAATAATGGAGGACACATAGAAGGAGACGTATTTCCCGTGAAGGCCATGTCCATCAAATTTGGATTCGGGTCGTCCATGACATTTTGGAACCACCCGAAACCATCATATGGATGGTTGTAGGGATCTTCATCAGCGTCGTCTTTAACAGCGGATGATTTTGGTTCATCACCCGCCATTTTTGTTTTTGTTTTTTCACTCTTCTTCTAACTGTTTTCTCTCTTTTTTTCTTTCTAGGATGAAACAAAAAAGAAAAGAAGGAGAAATTCTCTCTCAAGCACAGTGCGATGCTTGAGAGTTGACGAACAAAGAGTGAGGGAAGAGAGATGTTACAGTTCGATCAACGACAGGTTTTGTAAGGAGAGGCAAAAGAGAGAGATTGTAAGGAGAGGCAAAAGAGAGAAAGAGAGAGAAATTTTGGCGGTTAATGGTCGTTGTAGTAAGTTATCTTGATTCAACAGATGCGTTTGTTCGGTTAGTTGTCTTGCGGAACGTATATAACTGTCTGAATTTTATGTTTTGTACCAAACAAAAAGAAGTAAGAATCATAGTACAACGTAGTTAACATATAGTTTAGTCAGTTGGTTCCAGAGATATTGGACTGCAGAGTTTTATTGCACATTGTAGGTAGATTAAATTAAACTTTTATACATATATATATCTAGATGGTGGGTAACTTATAATTAAAATATATACAAGACATGATAGTGTAAAGGTATTTTTCAATTGGTACCCCAATTTGGTTTTGTTTTTGTTGAAATATCTCGAATGGGGTATACATTGTATATTGGTTTACGTATTGATCCAGTAAATGATATTAACTTTCAAGAAGAAAAAACAAGAGGGATTCAAATTCTTTGATAAAACCAATATTTATGTTAAGAGCTCTCGGTACATAAACAGTGTATATAGGATAATTTGCAAGATTTTGGACCTAGAAGACTATCTTAGAGGAATCCTTATGGTGTAGTGGGAGTGAACCTGTGAAAGGGTAAACAGTTGCAGTAGTTAATTATCCTTTGTGGTGCTTTTGGTGCACTTGACAATCGAGGAATGAGCTAATCTTTCCCAAAAGAGACATTGTGATCCACATAAGAAATTGTCAAAGCAGAATTGGATGGATAGCTGCCACAACAAATGACTTTGTAGGAAGGTGACCATATGTTGCAAGTTCAAAACATGCCTGGGCCACTGACACCACCGATTTTGAGTCATGACGACAAGCAAAAGATAGAAGATGTATGGAACTTAGAACAAAATGATCTCTGTTATTCGGAAGAGACCTTATTTGCGTTGGATCAAATGCAACATTTTTTCTTTCAAATCAGACTGAAATGTATATGGTAGATGGATAAACAAGAGATTCTCCGGGTGTTTGTAAATGCTGAGATTCAACAAAACCATGCATTAGAAACTAAAAGTTTAGTCCTTTCACACACATACACATAGCATGGTGGAGGTGAAACTGATGGGATTTTTTTAATCGGAAAGCTTATATAGTCTGACAACACCCTTCTGGTGTTCCGAGACATTGCAATACGCTGGCGGTTCATGAGGATCCAATAGAAGAAATAGAGGTCTTTTTTAATCTGACTATGCTTGCGAGTTGCGACACATTGATTGATATACAGATGTAGTGAAACACCAAAATACAATATACAAAGAAACATTACTATACACAATGGTAAATAAGAAGATAAATCCAAATTGATTATCTATATTACAACGAGAAGATAGAAACAAGTGCTCTTGTTTTCCCGAGAAAATTTTACAGATTCTTCTAATCTTCCCCTCCTTAGTTATATATATATATATATATCACAATAATAAAGATCCGCCCGACCCAGAAAAACACCAAACGAATACATTGATTCGACTCTTCTTTAAATACTGCATATTTATATACAAACACTAACCTGAATGAAACAGTTAAAAAAAACGGTGACCGGCGACGGAAACTGATCTTCATCTTCCTCCCTTCTTCCTCCTCTCTCTCTCTCTCTCTTAGGAAAAAACATTCATTTACTTCAAAAATGGTTGTACTAGTAGTAATGGTGGTAGCAGCAGTAGTAATCAAATCCTCCTCTGTTAGGCATTGGTGAACGATTTCGCAATCTCTATGTACACTTGTTCTTTTCTTGTCTACTAAGCCATGGCAGGGATGCTCGAGTTCTGGCGGTCACGGTTCAAGCAATCGAATCCTTCTACTCTAACTGCAGGCGAGTTGAGCCCAAATTTCATCCTAACACAACCACGGGACGACGATGATGATGATGATGAAGAAGATGGAGATGGAAAACCAGTTGCTGAACTGGGCTGAAGGAAAGGAGAGTTTGGTGAGGTTGGATTGAGTTTCTCAGCTCGAAAACGAGCATCTTGGGCTAATGGGTTCACCGCTCTGCTCGGTGGTGAACCGGGAAAATATGGTGGCGATGATGATAGTAACTGCCCTATTGTTCCATTATCCTCCTAGAGATATAAGAACAAAGGATTACGAATCAGAATTCATAAAAGATGATAGCTTATAATAACCTCTACTGATTCAAGGAAAGCTTTGGCAGTAAATCATCAAATGAATCAGACAAAAGAACGATGATTTGACTCATGAATCAGAGAAGCATACCTTTCTACGAATGATGTCCAAAAGCTCTGCACCCGCTTTAGAATCACACAAATCAGCTGCAGCTTGACTACAGGATCCAAAACAGAGAGCTCATAAAACACTGGAGGGCGAAATGATAGTTTCAAATCACTGCAGAACCTTAAAGGAGGATGCTTTCAAAATACCTCATATGTAATCTGAGAGGGCGAATCACGTTGTTGGCGAGTAAACCAACACGTCGAGGCTTAGGACAAACAACAAGATCCTTACGATCAAATCCCATCATCTCCTCACGAGACATGAAGGCGTTCTGCTGAAGGTTGCAATGATTCATCTTTTCACTGAAGAACGCCTGAATCAGACCAATTCAAACCGAATCAGATCCATCACATCACAGCAAGAGATTGTAATATGGAAAACACAAACCATCCGAATCTAATTTCAGAATCCAACATCAACATAACAAACTTTGTAAGATCTGAGAAATTATTCACTCCAGAATCAACGGATCTGAATCAGAGCTTCTTCAACGAAAGAAAGAAAAAACACATCATTCAAAATTCAAAGTGATTTGGCTATAAAAAGGATTTTGAAGGAAAAAAAAAACGGAAACCAGTTAAGGATAATAAAGCCAACGATGACGTTTGACCAAAAGGCAAAGGTCGAAACCCAGATCCGAGAAAATTCAAAACTTCATGAGTAGACTCAAAAAAATAGAAGAACACAGAAGAAGTTTTGAGTCGAGTTTAAACAAAAAATCAAAGGATAAAAACCAAAAAAAAAAACGAAAACGATAGATCTAATATCTATGGAAATATATTGTGAATGAACAAGAGAAAAAACTACACAGTGATCTGTAAAATCAGCCAAGGAAGGAACTTGAGAAAAGAAGAAGAAGAAGAAGGAAGAGAAGCGAGAGAGATGTACCTGAGTAGAATCTCCGGGAGAGGAGAGAGAGCAAGATGACGGAGAAGATAGATGAACAAAAAAGAGAGAGAGAGGGGAGAGAGGCGAAAAATCGTCGGAGGAAATAAGGATTTTATAAAAGGGTTGAGACCCAACAAAGTGTGGGTGAGGTTGAAGACAACTTGAAACGATGTCGTTTTCATGATTTTGGAAATTTCGCTTTATTTTTTAATTATTGTGATATATAATAACTGGAAAATTGCTTTTTATCGCCGTCGTAATAGTGATATTTGTGGACAGCTTTAATAATCCGATTTACATGCGTTTTTATATATTTTTGTAACTAATAATTATTTCTTTTAGATTGGTCAAAATAGCTTATGATTTTGTTTTCTCTCCTTCTTTTTTTTAAAACACATTAGATATTATTCTAAATATTTTTCACTATCCTATTTTTTCCTAAAGATTAAATATCACAAAATATCCAAAAATATCATTATAAATTTTATTTTCTAAAAATTTCACTAAAATACTTTTTTCCCGAAAATACCCACAAAACTAAAACTTAATTAATAAAATTGTAAACACTAAATTATATCCCTAAACACTATAGTATAAATATAAATAGTCAATCTAAACATAAAAACAATAATTTTACTTTGTGGTATTTTTGGAAAATAAAATTTTTGAGATATTTTTGGAACAAAAACTTAAATGATGGTATCCAAAAATATTTTTCTTATTGTTATTGATATTGTAACATAATAAATAAATTTCTTTGGTAAGACAAGAACAGAAATTAGACTACAAAATCTAAAATAAATACTATATTCAGAAAAAGATAAAATATGGAAACCAACAAAAAAAATGATATCAAAATAATTAAGAACTTAAGCATGGTACAAAAATACAGAAAATAATGCATTTAAATTCTATTTTTTACCATATATTGGGAAAATGGTATATTATAATTCTAATTCTATATTTTAGTAAATGGTTTATTTGTGATTGTATTTTAAGAAATCTTCGGTAAATGGGAATGAAATAATTTTCTTTCTATATGGGATCCATCGAAAATATCTTCTTGTAGTTTAGCAAACAAATATTTAATATATATTATATATTACCATTTCCCTATGTTATATTTCTATAGTATAACAAACCTACTACATTCACATGAGTACCTAGGTTTACTTTATTTACTTTTTGTTATAGCAGATCTTATTATTTTTTATTAATAGATTCTGATTTTTGTTTTTGTCTTTTATTTGTATAAAAAGCAGTAGTATATTAAAAACGCATGCTCTCATTAGTGATAGTTTGACAATTTGACCAGGCAGAAACTGTTATCGGGTCCGATGTTTCTTTATTTATTTCACTATTTATTTATTTGTAAAATAAAGCTGGCTTCCATAGTTTAACACTTTAACTTAACGTGTCCACATCAGCATAGACAAGTAAATACAATCAAAGTTGACTATTTTCTTTTCTTTGGAGAATCATTTTTTTATAATTAACAAATACTAACATTTTCGATGAATACTAACTTCATTGGAGATAGAGATACTATTTGAGATTTGGATTTTTTGGCTATCTCAAACAAGATTTGATTTATCATTGCATTTTCATGTTATATTATAAACATATAAGTAACACTTGTTTATGTCATGTAGTGTTACATATAAAAACTCAACCCTCTTTCTCGTTGAAAGCGATCTTGAACCTAATTTTACATGAAACTTAATCACATATTCCCACCCTTTTACGAAAGATATTGCTGTGATCTCTCTCTTTATGTTTTCACCTATTAAAGAGCTTAGAGGTAGTGAGTGGTATATACGTACGTTCGCGTACTTTGCCTGGTCTCTTGATTAGTTTTCCTTTTTTTGTCTGTTAGTTCCTGACCAGCTTTCAATTCTTGTTCTAAAAGACTTGAGTTAAGAATTCAGATTTTCTTAACGAACGTAACGTTAGGATTATATGGCTTCCTTCTACATATTTGTTTATCACAAAAAAACTTTGCCATCCTATAAAACCCGACAAACTCTACGTTTCTACTAATCTAACGTTTTCCGTATTGATGTCTAGTTACTAATTATAAATGATGTCTACTTAGAAAGAGACGTATAAAAGAAAGTCAGAAACCATAAATAAATAAAAATAGTTAAGCAAAGAATTAGTCACAAAGTTATGGAGAACCAAAAACACTATAATTGTGGAGAAAATATTTAAAATTAAGAAGCTATAATAGTAATAATTATGGAGAGAGAGAGGTGTTTTGTTTGTTTGAGGAAAAGAAGGGACAGTGGGAGAGACATGCGAGCCATTTACGCATTGAACAAAGGAAAGAATAAAGCCAATGGGGCATTGTTTTGAATAATATTGATTATACTTCTTTTTCCAGAAATAAAGATAAGGACATATACACTGTCACTGTGTGGTGGGGTTTAGATTAGTATAAAATTCAAAACTTAATCCGTAGTTGAAATCCTTAAATACGTTTGATTATGTATCAGTCATGAGAGTTTCCTAAATTAACTACTTACGTGCCAACAGTGTCGTAAACAACTAAAACTTGTAGACGTTACAAAGGCTTGTTTTACTTTCTAGACTTTTTGCTCTTCATATTTCAATGTTATTCATGTTCAAATCTATATATACTACCTCATCAAATTTTTAAATGTTGGGTGTCTAGAGGAATCAAATAACCTGACACCATTTGCAAAAAAAGAAAAAGTTGCAACAAGATTAATGTTTTATAAGAAAAGGTTAAAAATACACATACACACAACTAGTAATGCATAGAGTTAAACTTATGCCAAAGAGTTTTTTTTTTATTATTGTTAAAAAGTTCGGGGTTTAAGCCGTACTTTCTCTAAAGTTAAAAAAAAAACCAGATGAAAGTCCCTGGCCAAAATATCTAGTAATTTTGGTATGCCCAAAAATTTTTAAAATCATAACTAGACTCGTTTTGCCGAGAGTCTCAGCACGTAAGCCCGATATATAGTTAGTTAGGCATCTTTGTTATGCCCAACCAATCGAGGAAAATGTAAGTAAACTACTTTTTAAAACTTCACTAAGTCTGCCAGTTTAAAATGCCAGTTAAAACAACGTTTTAGCTAGTTTTATACTTAGGATTCTACATAAAATTATTGTTATCGGACTTATTATATCACGACAATAATGGTGTTTAAACTTTCACATTATTTTGCCATTATAAATTTTACCTTCTTCGTTTTATTTTATGACTCCAAAGTCCCAACTATGTTCTTTAATTATACCAAGTACCAACCATATTTGATGTGGTTTACAGTCTTTTGATAAAGTACCTCTGGTTCCAGTTCATTTTCTTCTTTATAAAACAACAAAGTAAAGGAAAAGTCCGATAACCAAATAGCAAAGAAGAAGGTGGTTTTTAATATATATAAATTCATAGAAAATATATAAAAACTTGAGTTTTTTGCCGATGATTTCTCAATACAATATGATGTTCCTTTGTTTTTTTTTTAAATTAATTCATATACACTATTAGAAAATTAGAAAATGTGAAAAAATCCTAGTTTTGTTTTGATTTAGCCTTAATATAAAAAGAAAAAACAAAAAGTTGAAGATCAATCAGGTGGTCAGGAGGAGGGTTCCTTGCTATGCTCTCTTCCTTAGAAAACAAATCATGCTGCTAACTCCTCACCTAAATTGCACGTGATCTGACTCATCAAATACACGTGGCATAGCATTAATGGATTGTCGTCTACCAAAGGACACAGACGCGTTAGCATATATCGTCACATAATCTTTTTTTCGGAAGATCCAATCTCTCTCTCTCTCTCTCTCATCAGCTCTACACACAAAACCAATAGTTTCCGACAATATTGTTCACACGATGATACTGAGACCATCCTCAATGGTAGGATTTAATGAGTGTATTTTAGGATTAATTTAGTAATTAATATTAAAAGTGTAGAGTTTAAGATATGTATTTTTGTTTTTTGTTTTTAGGTAGGATTATTGGTAGGTTCTTAAGTTTGGTATCTTAGAAAAAAATATTAATTAAAATTTTTTTTTAACAATTTTAATTATTAAACACTTAATAATTATTGCAAAATAAAAATTTATAAACATATATAAATTATAATTTATTGCATAAATAACATAAAACACAATTAATTTAAACGTGATTTATTTCAACACCCACTTAGAAACTGCCACGTCACAGCCTCTTAAACCTTCTTCTGTATCTTATATAAGATACGGTATCTTATATTTTAATTAACATTTTGATTTAATTTAAATGTCTAATTTACCTAAGATATGCTTAAGATGCTAGCATTGATGATGCTCTGAAAACCATTACTAAAATAGACAAAGAGTGGACAAGAACCGCAGAAACTCTCATTGATAGAATTATAATAATTGCGTATTTCTCATGATTTCTCTAATAACCACATCACCCTCACTTTCGTGTAGTCTTATCTTTCTGAAACAAAATCAAAAATAAAATGAAGTTGAAATTTTTTAATAGTTTTTATTGATTTCTTTTAACAAAAAAAAACAGTTTTTATTGATTTCTATATGTATATAAATACAAAATTCAGAAGGAGCCTTTTTTAGAATTTTTTTTTGTTAATGGCTCTGAGATCAGCAAAGCTTCCACTTTTCAGTCCTTTACACGGTAGCATTAGTCACTAATATTATTCGTATTTTATCCCTTTTCATTTTTATTTCCCAAACTCGAGACTTTTTTTTTTTAATTTATAACTTTGGTTTGAAAAATAAAAGCTGTATTCTTTTTAGAATAATTCAACAACAAACAACAATATTTTATACGTGTAGAAGATAAATTTGTGTTGTTGTTGCGTGGATCAATTTGATTGATCTTCAAAAAGGATAAATCTTTTTTATATTTTAGGGTTTGTAGATAAAGGAAGAAGATTTGTGTGGCAAAGAAGTAGATCCATGGCTCCTGCGGCGAAGCTAGACAACAATGAGGAGCTCCGGCGACTCAAGGACGTTAATATTGACGAAGCTTCTGGGCGTCGTCATGTTCGTGATTCCTTGAAAGATATCCAGCTCAATCTTGATCATATCCTCTTCAAGGTAACAGTAACAAATATATCTCAAAATTGAATCTACTATATTCGTCTCTCTTCCAATTGAAATGGGTATACGAAAGGTTGAGACTTTAAGACTAGTTTTGACCACTCTGCTTCAGCTTTGTTTGAGTCGACTTTTGTGTTTTTATTGACTGATTGAAAATGTTGGTTTTTTCATGATGTTTGCAGACTCCTGAAAATGGAATTAAGACAAAGGAGGTAAAAGAGAGAATGATTTCTTCTTTTTTTTCATGAATCAAAGTTAGTTTATAGTTTTGAAGGAACCTCTTGTTGTTGTTTGTGAGATGATATATGGTTTATTGTAGTCTTATGAGGTGAATTCGAGAGGAATTGAGATCTTCTCCAAAAGCTGGCTTCCTGAAGCTTCTACCCCTAGAGCTTTGGTTTGTTTCTGCCATGGCTATGGAGATACTTGCACGTTTTTCTTTGAAGGCATGTTTGTTTGTGTTTTCTTATTTAGCCAATGGTTTGTGTATGAAAACGAGACTGAGGCTTCTTTGATTGCTCACTAGCTTACTTTTTGCAGGAATTGCGAGGAGATTGGCATTATCGGGTTATGGAGTTTTCGCTATGGATTATCCAGGATTTGGCTTATCGGAGGGCTTGCATGGTTATATCCCTAGCTTTGATCTTCTTGTTCAAGATGTCTTGGAGCATTACTCCAACATAAAAGGTAATAGTAACTTTGTATTAAAACCAAGAGAGTCCTGATTAGCTTCATGTTTTAGGTACTGATTAGATTTCGAATCTTTTGGATGCAGAGAAGCCCGAGTTTAGTTCTCTACCTAGCTTTCTATTTGGACAGTCAATGGGTGGAGCCGTGTCGCTCAAAATACATCTTAAACAACCAAATGCGTGGACTGGCGCAGTCTTGGTAGCACCAATGTGCAAAGTAAAGACTTGTCTTTCTATATTATTATTTGCAGTCATTAAGCAAACCTCTCGTATTACTAATCATAAGATTCATAAACATTAACTTTGCATACTTATCTGTTTTAGATTGCAGATGATTTGGTTCCACCACCGGTATTAAAACAGATTTTGATTGGTCTAGCCAGTGTTCTACCGAAACACAAGTTGGTTCCACAAAAGGATTTAGCAGAAGCAGCGTTTAGAGATATCAGGAAGAGAGAGATGGTACAAACATAAATAACAGATTTCAGGAACTTATTTTGGTTAAATCGATTTCTTTACTAAACTAGTGTTCTCATTTTTGCAGACACCATACAATGTAATTTGTTACAGCGGCAAACCACGGCTACGCAGTGCAGTAGAAATGCTTCGAACAACTCAAGAGATTGAAAAACAATTGCAAAAGGTAAAAAGTATGAGAAAAACCTCAATCTAGAAGAGCAGAATCAGAATGATAACATTTCTTGATTTGACCTTTGTAGGTGTCTCTGCCAATATTGATTCTACACGGAGAAGCTGACACAGTGACAGATCCGTCAGTGAGCAGAGAGCTTTACGAGAAAGCGAAAAGTGCGGACAAGAAGATAGTTTTGTATGAAAATGCTTACCATTCTCTGCTCGAAGGCGAACCTGACGACATGATTCTGCGTGTCTTGTCCGATATTATCTCGTGGCTGGACGAGCATAGTCTGCAAGCTGAGGGATCAGTAGTTACTTCTATGTAGCTTATGAACGTTTGTTTCGTTTTACTTTAGGTAGAATTTATTTCTATTCCATTTACCTTGTGAAAGGGTGGTATTTCTCAACGAATTAGCAAATAAATGGTCATTTTTTCGCAATCAATATTACATGACAACTTCGTTTTAACTTAGGAATCATATCTTCAACTATCATATAAAATCTGATATTGTTTTCTTTCGTATTGTTTGCAAATCTTTGTGTCATCTTCTATACTTTGGGTTATTTTCGAACAATCAAAATACCAAATTATGGCACGACGATGGAAGTTGTATAAAAGCATAAGAACTTATACTCTTTATGGGTTACATATGACCAAGCGACTTAGTAATACGGAGTAGTATTATACTTTTGTCACCGCTAAGTCGCTAACATTATGTGTACAGCAAAGATTAGTATTTGTAGACGAAACAAACAACACTAGTGTCGACAAAAAAAAAAAAAACAAACAACACTAGTAGCTTAGCTTACACACTAATTGTACTAATATTGGCCAAGAAAGCATATACTGTATGTATTCACGAATTTTAATGATAATCAAAACTTTTAGTTCTATATTTAGTAAAATAAAATTAACAAACGTACATGATAACAAAAGTACCTGTTACTACATTAGGTGCATTAAGCATTTCTCCCAAACTGTATAAAGACTTCTGAGAGGATAATAAGTTTGGGTTCTTGGAATTTATTAAAAGAAACGAGTTTGTTAATTAACGGGCTTTGTACAAAGCCCATTTAGGGTTAAAATTCTTCACAGGGCTTTGGCTACCTTGAAACCCTAATCATGAAACAATAAAACCTGATTTTACCGAAAGTGAGCTGCGAAGGAGAGAAGCCGCAACATTTTTGTCAATCTTAGGGTTCTTCTTCGCTCCTTCAGATTTTGCTAATCGTGCGTTGCTAATCGGTAAGAGATTCTCTTTCGCTTCCTCTCCGGTCAACGTCGTCATATGCGAATGTGTTGTTGTTGTCATGAATGAGTTTTTCTTCTCTTGAGAGGCAATGCTGATGTTTTCTGCTGAAATCTAAGTGCTCACTTCTGTGTAAAATGATGCAATTTTTTCAGCTTTATATGATTGCTCATCTGATTCATTGCCCTTATTGTGATTAGGATGAGGGTTTTATTTTTTGCTTTAAGCCTCTGTAGCTCATCGAGCATTACCTTGCTACAGAACAAATTTGTTTATATGCTTTAACTATCATTTTGACAGCTGAGAGATTTGGTTGAAACGATTACTTGTCAGTTTGTGTTCATAGATTTACCTTATGTTCATCCTGAGTTTTATAGAATTTGATTCGTATCTGGTGCTTAAGTTCCCACTACAAGGTCACTGTTGTGCTTGTAGTAAGTCCATATGCCTAAAGTCTTACCTTTTCATGTTTTGTTTCTTTGAAATTTAAGGTCTGTGAAGATGTTCTCTGCTCAGAACAAGATCAAGAAGGATAAGAATGCGGAACCAACAGAGTGCGAGGAGCAAGTTGCTCAGGTGATTAATACCTTTTTATGCCAAATTATATAATTTGTCTTCATTTGGAATTTGTTCATTTATTCATTGTCGGCAATTTTCATTTTTTCTCTTAGGCCTTGTTTGATTTGGAGAACACCAACCAGGAATTGAAATCCGAGTTGAAAGATCTCTACATTAACCAAGCTGTGTATTGTTTCTTCCCCCTTCTCATTTCATGGTTGTATTTTTCCTTTACAGAAGGAAACTAACTAGAGCTTTCATTGTAGTCACATGGATATCTCTGGAAACCGCAAAGCTGTTGTGATTTACGTCCCATTCAGATTGAGGAA